GGGTCCCGCGTTCAGATTCTTTCTTGGACCTGCTGTTGTGTGCGCCAGAGTCCAAGTGCCCAGGATAGGTTCTAGTCAGACTATAACTTCCTAAAGGGATTGAAGGACTGGTTTCCTCCCACCACCCGCGACTCAGCACCACGGGCTACTCCGTCCACCTCCCTTCCACCCAACTGTCCAGCGCAGCCCTGGGGCCAGAGCGGTAGATGCTCCTCCCGAAATTAGGGACACCCTGCCCTTTCTCCTTCAACTGTGCCCCGCCCTAAGGGTGGAGGAAACCCCGCAGGGAAACGTCCTCCGGCCTGAGGTTCTCCCCATCCCTGGGCGGAGGATGGGCTGGACATCCTCTGACGTGTGGTCTAAGGGGGAGCCTCCTCTTAGAAGGTCGACTGATTTGAGAAAGTCTGAAGACCCGGTTGCTGTAGTAAGTTCCAGAATCCTTTGGGCCAAAAAGTGACCGACTTCTCTGAGTGCTACAGGCTTCAGACTTCTGGGACAAGCGAGTTGAAGAAGCAGGCTGTCTAAGGGGAAGCCCCGACCTCAAAGATACTTAGTGTCTGTGTCTGCACTTCCCAGTCTGAGCCCTTGACTCAAACTCTTTCCACCAGATCAAAATAGCAAGCGCCTAGCCTAGGGCTGTAAGCCAAGACAGGGAGGTGGCAGCTGAACCGCAGAGCTCCCCTGAAGCAAAAGGCCACCAGACAAATCCGTAGGGATTTGCTGCGGGTCCTGCGGGGGCGGATGATAAAACCTGGGGAGTGAGGCCGGGTGTGTTGAAATGACCCCAGCCTTCTCCTTCCTCCGGAGGCTCTCAGGATCCTAATAAAGAGGGCCCAGAGGTTACTGTTTCTTCCAATCTAAATGCTGCTTACCTCTGCTCACTCTTGCCAGAGAAGCCTGTGACTTGTGTCCCAAGGTTCCTGTCTGCCTGTCCCTGTTTCCAGGGCCCACCTCTCCCTCTGGTAAAGGAAGGAATGGGCTTTCTCATATCACCTGGTAGTTTCCTCTTGACCACGGAGGAAACTCATTTGCCACAGAAACAAACTTAGCTGTCTCTATCAGGTAGAACAGGATTTGGAATAGACATGCCCCGACCGACCTCTGGGGAGTTGTGTGGCTCAATCTCCACAAGTTCCTTCTCTCTCCCTGAGCCAGAATGTCCTTGACTGTTAGTGAGGCGTGGTTCCCTTACATTTAATTGCTATTTCCCTTGCTCTAACAGGAGAATTCAGGAAAGGGAGGGACTTATTTTGACTCCTGGTTTGAAGGCTTGAAGGCTTACGGCACAGTAGGGAAGATGGAGCAGTGGGAGGGGGTCACAAGTCAGGATGCAGAGGTGATGGCTGCTGATGCTGTCTTCTTCCCCCTCTTTTTAATCTGTGTGGGACCCAGGTCATGGGACAGAGCCAGGCAGGTTCAGGATGTGTCTTATCTCTTAGGTGTGAAAACACCCTCAAGTCACACCCAGAGGCGCATTTCCTGGGTGCTTCTGGATCCAATCACGTCGGTAATGAAGATTAATCACCCCTCCCTCCACAGGGCTGGAGTGTGAACACAAGAGTGTGCTGAAGAAACGGCGTACCTCCTTCCTGCTGCTACCCAACAAGGGATTCTCTCAGCTGTGGGTGAACCTGCCTTCTCCACTGTACACCCGCTTCCTGGCGACCTATTAGGGTCACTGGTCAAGGGACATCTGGGGAACAATAACACTGAGGGTCCTGTTCCCTCCAAAGATGATACTGCAGTCTCTCCTTCCAGACCATCCATCAGCCCCTGTCTGAGTGTCCCTCCCTTAGCAAAACAGCTCTCATGTGTTCCGACTCAAGTTCAGGCAGGAGGTGGTGGGAACAGTGATGGTTGGGTCTGACGGTCTGGATTTCTCCCTCCTTCTACGGTTCTGTTCCAGCAAGATGTGCGCCAAGCCTACGTGGTCTGAACATCTACCCACACCATCCCTTCCCTGCCCATTAAGCTGTGGCCTTCACCTGCTAGTCAGGCTCCCTGCCTGAACCACTACAGGGATCCCGTGGTACTCCTCCTCTGTTTTCCCAAATCCTTCAGGCACAGCGCCTGGCACAATAACCAACGTGTGTTTGTGAACAAAGATCAGTAATCCCTCTTTTGAACATCTATTTCCACGTACCTCCTCCCCCAAACCCAGACCAAATGTTGGCTTTTTGGTGCGGGCCTCTGGCCACCATGGTTGTAGGATTTTATGCTGTTGGTCTCTGAGAACCTGGAAGGAGCGCCTGGTTTAGTCATTTGGATTGCCATTGTCTGAGTCAGGCATGCAGCCTTCTGGGATAAATCTCCTCAGAGCTGGAGTGGGCCTTCCACATTAGGGCCCCAAACACCTGCGACAGCACTGGTGGAAATGCCCTCACAGAATGACTTTAGCTAGGTAAACAGAAGGACTGTCACTGGGTAAACAATAGCTTCATGGTGGGCTTCTGTTTGCCAGGAAATGTTTCCTTTGCCAGGTTACCTACTGTGGGCAGGGCATCTAGTTCTTCCGCCAATATAAACAGCCTGTGTGAGTTCAAAGATCCCACTCTACTGACTTGCTTTCCTGCCGTGTTGCTTCTCTCCGCCCCTCCCCCCTCCCAGAGATGGCCTTTGCGATTTGATCCTCAATAAGCATTTCTTTCTGTGCTTGGAGTGGTGGCCTGATTTACTTTACCCATCTCTGTGGGTTCCATGTGGCCCAGCTATGCCAATAGGCACACAGTGGGTGCTCAGGGAATGACTTCCAAGCTGAGCTTTGCAGGCCCCGCATCGTCTGTGTACACCACATCTCCTGAGAAAACCGGTGGTGCGGCTGACTGCTATTCCCACCAGAGAAGCCCACTCGGACAGCGGTCTAAGCCAATAGAATAGAAGGTCTTTATTAGCAGCTGGTGACAACAGTGAATGTTTGGGGTCTCAGTATAGCCCTGACTCTTTCTCAAAATTGACATACTTCAGTTAACAAGAACAGTTAGCCTGAAGCAGAACTACAGAAGCCAAAAAAAAAAAAAAAAAACAAGGTTAGTACATTCAGAGACTTTCCCAGAACGATGGACGTTGATGGACTAAACCTTTCTTTTAGTTTTCTGCAGGTGGTGTTGTCTATGTGCCAAGTTTATAACCTGAAAGGTACTTCCATCATGGAGTCAGTTATACTAAGGTCTGGTGATGTGGGATGTCCTTCTTTATATGTGTTGCGTTTATTGGATGATGAATAAAGCTGTTTTGGCCAATGGCTCAGTAGAGTAAAACCAGACAAGAAATCCAAATAGAGATAGAGATAGAGAGAGTAGGTGGAGCCAAGGAGATACCATGTAGCTGCCAAAGGAGAAAGATGCCAGAACCTTACTGGTAAGCCATAGCCTCGTGGTGATATATAGATTAATAAAAATGGGTTAATTTAAGATATAAGAGCTAGCTAGGAATATGCCTGAGCCATTGGCCAGTATTGTAATTAAAACAGTTTTATGTGATTATTTGGGTCTGGGTGGCCAGGAAATGAAAGCACAGTCTCTGTTTATAGTCTGGGGTCCTTCCAAAGTCTGGGGGCTTGTTACATTGATGATGGCTATGCAGGCCTGGGCTGGGAGAGACTTTCTCAGATCCGGAGGATACATTTCAGGGTACCCAGCCCCCGGAAGGGACATCCCAAGTCAGCATCTTTCCCATTTTTCCTTTACCCTGAGGGAGACTGCAATAGTGTGTTTGGCGATGTGTGGGAATGAGGCAAAGGGAAAGAAGGACGGGGCCCACAGTCTACCCAGGGAGCTGTTGTGTAGGATAGTTAGGGTTTTGATGTGGGAGTGATTTCTTATTAATAAAGAAACTGCCTCGGCCCTCATAGGACAGAAAATTAGGTAGGCGGAGTAGACAGAAGAGAATTCTGGGAAAAAGAAGCTGAGTAAGAGTCGCCATGATTCTCCCACTCCAGACAGACGCAGGTTAAGATCCTCCCTGGTAAGCCAGCTCGTGGGCTACACAGAATATTAGAAATGGGTTAGAACAATATGTAAGAGCTAGCCAATAAGAAGCTGGAACTAGCCGGGCCAGGCAGTGTTTGAAAGAATACAGTTTCCGTGTAATTATTTCGGGGCATAAGCTAGCCATGCGGGCGGCCAGGTGCCGGGGACGCAGCCCTGCCGCTCCTATTTCAACAGGGTTTACCATCATAGAAATGACTGATCCCTCTGAGGCCCACAGCAGTGTCTGGGGCAGCTGCTAGCTCTCTCCACAGACAGGCCTCTAACTAGCTGTCTGCTGTGCCCAGCCTTTCTTGGCCACATTGCCCTAAGACTGCCTTAGTATCTACTGAAAATCTCTAGGGGCCTAATGGGTCCTCTGCTCCAACACTTCTGAGCCTATGAGGTGAGGATAGAGGATTTCTCAGTGTGGGAAGGGGCAGCCACACCTCCCTTTGCCTCCTGGGTACTACTAGGGTTTCTTCTGACTTTTTCAAGGCCTGTTTCAAAGGACCTCAGTCAGGTGTTCCCAGGAAACTGGGCTGGTGTGAGAAGTCGTCGGGACGAGGGAGTGCAGCTTCTGGGCATGTGCACACGGTGGCTACTGAAACACACTGAACATGCCCGGAAGGGGGTTTGGAATACAGGGACCTCTAGTCACTGGCTTGGCTGGCTCTGCAGCTGAGGAAGGTGACGGAATTCAGGTCTGAGTACCATTTAGAGTGTTTGCTTGTGGCTCACTCATCTCTGTTGCCTTCTGTCTCCCTCTGGTGAGCTTCAGTTCACATTCACGTGGAAGAATCAGAATGAGTCAGGTAAGAATTTGAAGGACACGGGCCTCCTCACGGAAGTCCTGGGGCTTTCTGTGGGAAGCAGGAAAGCCAGGAAAAGAGCCCCCCACCCCAAGCCTTGCACCCAAGACTTGTTCTTGGGGTGTTTTTGTTTTGTTTCTGTTTTTGACATAGGGTCTCACTGTGTACCTTTGAATGGCTTGGAACTCACAGTGTAGACCAAGCTATCCTCAAACTCAAAAAAAAAAAAAAAAAAGATTTGCCTTCTCAAGCGCTTGTTTTTAGACCTGCAAAGGCAGAATGAGTAATACCAACAAGTCAAGAAGGAAAAGCCCCACCCAGGTTTGGAATTAGAACCGGCTTCTAATTGCAGCTTGGCTTGAATCAAGGCCAGAGGTCACTCCTCCCCTACCCCCAGCTCCGGACTTCTTTAACCACCTGATCTATAAATGAGTAGATTTGATTTCAGCAGCGGTGTGGAGCCCTGCTGACAACCTCAGCTTCAGTGGAGACTGGTTCAGAGCTTCAGGAGCAGGCGACAGAGTGGTCTGTTCTTGAGATTTGCTGTAGTTGGTGTAAGTGCTCTAGGTAACCACTGGCCCTCTCCTTCCAACCAGCCCTCCATGGAAGTGTGGTGGTTTAAATGAGAAAGGCTCCCATAGGCTCACTCATTTGAGTTGTTCTGTGGTTGATAGAGCGGTTAGGGGAGGACTAGGAGGTGTGGCCTTGTTGGAGGAGGTGTGTCACTATGGGCTGGACTTGGAGGTTTTATTTGTTTGTTTGTTTTGTTTGTTATTTTGAGACAGGGTTCCTCTGTGTAGTCCCGACCATCCTGAAATTCACTTGGTGGAGCAGGCTGTGCTGGCCTCAGATTCAGAGATCTGCCTCCCTCCTGAGTGCTGGAATTAAAGGCCTGTACCTCCAGCACCTGACGCGGTCCCAGTTAGCTCTCTCCGCCTCATGCTTGTTAATCAAGGTGTGTGTTCTCAGCTACTGCTCCAGCGCCACGCCTGCCTGCGGCTAGACTCTTCACCATGATGGCCGTGGACTCTAGCCCTCTGGAACCACAAGCCCCAACTTAAATGTGTTCTTTTATAGGTTGCCTTGATCATGGGGTTTTGTCAATACAATAGAAGGACGTTAAACCTCACCCTCCATTGTCTGACAGCAAAGCAGTAGCGTCATGGCTCCTAAGTTCTTCTCCACCATCCAGGAGACTATCTGTTCATTCTGTCCATCTTTAGCAACCTCAGCTGACACAATGCCACCTCTGCTTGAATTGTTCTCTTCTCATTTCCTGACCTTTGACCGTCACCAAATTTCATTATCCCCGGCTCTGTTCACGTTCTGCTCTCAACATCTATTTGTCCACAGATCCTACTGCATCTTTGGCCATGTCACCACCTCCATTATTATCTGATTGACCCCCATGTTCACACCTGAGGTCCTGGAGAGCTGCACGAGCTCCCTTCCTCCATTTCTCTATAACTGCTACCCACTAGCTACAATCTCCTGGCAGTGGGGTTGCTTAGGGTGACCCACAGATTAAGGAATACCACTTGGCAAGACCCCGAGTTTAAGCCTTGCTTTCCGCTGGAGGAGCAACTGTGCTTGCTGCTATTTGGAGCAGAGGTGGAGGTAGCTGAGCAGCAAATGAGGAAATGGGCAAAGTCTGCCAAGGATCCAGAGGCATGAAGCCAAGAGGAGGTAGGTCCAAACTGAAGAGCAGGACGCGTGCCAGCGTAGCTGGGATGGACAAGTTGTGCCACCTGCATTTGGAAAAGGGAAGGCTATGCAGGTGGAAAAAGTAGGTCAGGTCTACCAAGGGATGGTATGGGCTGAACCCCAAGAGAAGGAGGACACAAGCGGCTAAGGAGATGGGTGGAAGACAGGTAGGGACACCTTGGTAAAGCAATTCTCAACCTGGCTTCCCATCAGGGTCCCTGGGAGATAATTTGATTCAACTGAAAGTGAACGAGAGTGTACTCAGACCCTCATTCCCAGAAAATTACCTCTTCTTCAGTTTGGGGTGAGGGCCAGGAATTGATAGTATTTAATATTTCACTTGTACTTCGTGATTTGTTGGCGGGTTTGTACCACGCTACTGGAAATTCTTTTTAATTTGTAATAGAGTCAAGACTTGGAGTAGAGGGAAGTTCTCACTGTTGGAATCTGACTCTCTACTCACAGACCAGGAAAGGTGCCCTAAACTTCCTGCCTCTTCCTCTCTCTCTCTCTCTCTCTCTCTCTCTCTCTCTCTCTCTGCTGTAGCGTGATGATGGTAACGTTTCCAGCATCTCCCAGGGCTGTGGGTCCATGTAAAGAATGTCTTTGCACTGCATGCCAGCCCTCTGGGCACCAGTCCTGTTCGGTGACTTCCCAGACGGTTCTAATGTAAAGCCTGGGCTGAAAGACGTCGGCAAAACATAGGTGAGAAAGTTCAGAGAAAGTGGCCTATACTGGAGCTTGGTGTTGGGAACAATTATCAGAGGAAGGAGAAACTGAACATCCAGGACACTAGATTATGATATTGTCCTATTACACATAAGTGAAGCCCACGTTTGGGGGTGGTGAGCGTGAGGAATGGCATGATGAACATAATGATATTCTGGAATCCGGGGTGGGGCCGTCCTGACTGGAGGGAAGGAGATGGGGTTCGGAAGACAGTAAGCTCAAGAGGGTCTGGGAAGTTGCAGAAAGGGAAGCATTTGAGAGGAAACATAAAGAAAAACCGAATGGAATTTGCTCCCTTAGTGAACTAAGGTCTTAGAGAGATTGAGGAAAGAGCACTAATAAATTCTCACAGCTAAGACTAAGGGTAGCTCCTGTGCTGGTTGCGATTGCATTCAACTGAGTATCAGTGGCTTAAACCCAATTCAAGTTTAGTTCTCTACTTGTTAAACTTCTAGAACTATTACAGTGTTTCCAGTCCACACAGTCTGTAAAGATCCAGGCTCCTGACATCTCTCTTCTGATGGAACCAGATACTGGTCCTTGGGGTCCAGCATCCGTAGATGGAGAAAGGAATGGAGCGGGATGGTTAAGAGGACTGGGGGTATCATTCATTGTGCAGCATTCCTAAAGCACCGGGTTTAATCCTCTCCCCTACATACGTGGGATGTGGTATCATACACCTGTACTCCCAGAATTTGACAGAAGCAGGAGGATCAGAAGAAGTTCAAGGTCATCTTTGCCTACAGTGGTTGGTGTACGCGAGACTCTGAAAAAAAAAAAACAGGCAGAAGTCAGGGTCTCTTGAGAAGGCTCCTTATAACCTCTCATGGCTTACTTATATTCTTTTGCCAAAGAAATATTCATAGCTGCACTTATTCACCAAAAAAGCCAGGAAACATGATATCTATTTTCTAATTAGGTTTGCATCGGAATGTCTGTGACACCTCTTGTGATAGAAGGAGAACCCAGGGGTCAGATGTTAGGGAAGCACTAATAATCTCTTCAGTTGTCTCATTTTGTTAGGAGGTGAATTTGAATCATAAGAGTCCACTGGGGAAAACAATGTTTAAAATATGTAGGGTTGGAAACCTGAGTAGAGTACTGTGTTCTAAGACAGACAGAATTCAGAGACAGCTCTGCGATCTCTGGCTTCGGTTGTGCCCGCCTGTCTAATCCCTCTCCTGTGGATGGGAGCACAGCACGTGCTGGGAGTTTTCAGAAAGTTTAGAGTAGCGTAGAGGAGAAGCAAGACAAACGCAGGGGTTAACGAGGAGCGACGCGGTTCATGAGGAGGAGGTAGCCAGCCGCGCGGAGAGAAATCTTAGCACAGTGCTCAGAATCTTCCGTGGACTGTCTTCTGCCTCCCTGTCTCCTGTTGGCCACTCCCCTTAACATCTTGATCACAACCGCTGTATGCTTGATGGTTTCATCTCCACAGCACCTGGCCTGTTCTCTGCCTGGTCCCTTTACAATTTCCTCCAGTCAAGCTTCCAACCTCAAATCATGCATTGCTTTACCACTAACCCGCAAGGATAGTGGATGTCTCTGTGTCGTACTTCCATGGCACCCCAAACCTTGCGCCCTCATATTTTCAGACTTTTACAGTTGGTCATGAGTTCATCCTCCCTCTCAAGCTTCTGGAAGTCAAGCATACAGCAGATTGTTTTCGTAGCCACAAAAATGTAGCGCCACGCCTGGTGTACAGTGAACTCTCATATATGTGGGCAGTAGATCTAAAAAAGATCCCTCAAGAGCATAGGATGAGGAACATCTATTCTGAGACTGGTAGACAGAATGGGAGGACAAGTGTGGAGTGGGAAGCTTTAAGTGAGGACCCATTATAACCAGGTTCTTCTGCCGCCATCCAGTAAAGATGAATTTTGGCACTTTAATAAGCGAGCTCTGGTGACCTTTGAATTAGACGGTGAGTAATGTGATCTTGATAACCAAAATGGCAGGGGGCAGGGTAAAGCGTGTCTATTTCCAATGCAAAGGGACTCTGAACCGATAAGAGGAAAAGGAAAATCAAAGGAATAAATTTGGCATTCAAGCCATAAATTAATCTCAAGTCTCAACTGCAGTAAGGGACAATCACATTCTCAGTAGGACTCAGGGTCGTTTTCCCCAAGGCTTGCTCTCCCAACCATTAAATGGAATGTTCAGTTCCATTTAAATCAGCAGAAGCTAATTATGTCCTACTATGTGACAGAGGACTTCCTTTTTCTACAGTGGCTAGGCATTGAGAATGCAGCTACGAACAAGAAAAACTCTATGCTCATGCACAGGAGAATGATTTAAGTGGATTCGACCGTTTCATGTGTGACAGAGGCAGAAGCAGGAACCACCCTTCCTCCACTGCCTCTGATTCCAGCCCTAGCCATGGGGGACAAACCTGCACGATCCCAGACCCATATCTTGTTGGCAGTATCTCCCTTGAAACGTACACACTCCAGGTCTGTGTGATCACACTTTGCCCGTGGCCTGCACTGTGGGACCTAACCAAACACAGCCGGATCTCCGAGCATTGTGAGACTTCAACCTGAGGCATTCTTAGAAAGCTCTTAGGTAACGATGCCGAAACCGACTCAAGCAGAAGGAGGTGGAGGATGGGTGTACACGGGTCCAGATGTGAGCAGAGACTCTGAATCCATCCCGGACATGTTTTTGATGAGCTGTAAGGCTGATGAACACCCAGAGAAGGGGAGGGAGAGGGTGGGAGGCTCAGATAGACAGAACTTGAAGAAAGGAGGGTGTCGGAGCAAGGATGACACTCTGGCTTCTGACTCAAGGGACTAGGTAAATGCCAAAGACACGGGCCAGTGGTTAGGAGCAGCAGTACCAGTAGTTCTTGCAGAGGACCTCAGTTGGCTCTCAGCACCCACGGCAGTCCGTTCCCAACCAGCTGCAACTCTAGCTTCTGGGAATCTGGTCACCCGCCCTCACATGCACATATCCACACACGGGCACTCGTGCATAAATAAAGTAAATTTGAAGGAAACTGGATAGATATGGGAAAAACACTGACAAAAGTGTGTATTTGAGGAAACAATTTTCTATTAAGTTCACTGTGTCCGCAATAGAGTCCAAATGCAAAGGTGGGATGGGGGATGGGAAGAGACAAATTCCCCTGTGTCAAAGAGTAAACCCACTCGCTCACCTCATTTTGTAAGTTAGCAGTTTGCTGGCTTACAAAGATCTGAGTCAGTTTAATGGGAAGCAGGCTGGCTTCAGTTGGTGCTGAGACCCTAGGACGCCTACAATGGACAACTTCTCCCTGGGCTGCAGTTTGCTCCGCTGTGTCTGCCCTCCCCCACGGCACCTCTATAAATAGGTAAGTTAAGGCAACACGGCTGCTCCCAACCAAATGGTTCCAGGCTCATCTTTAGATGCCTCCATCAATATCTGTGAATCAGACTCTGGGAAAGTGACTAAAAAAGCCATCTCTATTTAGGATGGAGGGAGGAGGGAGGACCGCAGATAAACTGCTTTTCCTCCGGAGGAGGCCGGAGGAGGTGGACTTGAGATTCAGCTACAGAACGGATACTCATGGGGGAACGGAGGCTCTCCCTTCCTTCTCCCACTCCAGGGATGCTCAGCAGTATCTGGGAGCATTTGGGGTTATCCTGACTAGAGGTGGGTGGGGTTTTTTTTTTCTGGTTCTTGTGGGAAGATGCCAAGGATGCTGCTTCAGGGGTGTGATGCACAGCCTCCACGTGGAAGAATATCTGGCCCTGAAAGTCATAGTGCCAAAGATGCGATGCCCTGAGTTAGAAGGGTTTCATTTTTAATTTCTTGGGCAGGTGTGAGTCGGTGTGAGTCCGTGTGTGTGTGTGCGCGCACACACACACACATAAGTGTGCAAGGATCCATTCAACTTTTTTTTTTTTGAAACAGGGTTTCTCACCTGGCTTGAAACCTGTGCCGTAAACAAGGATGGCTGACCAGCAAGCCCGAAGAGTCTTCCTGTGTTTACTGCCCAGAGCTGGGATTCAAAGCATGTGCCACTATGCCCAGTTTTTGTTTATTTGTTTTATTCTTAGGTAGATCTGGGAGTCAAACTCAGGTCTTCATGTGCTCACAACAAGTACTTTACCAACTTAGCCATCTCCTCAGCCCTATTTTGATGTCTTTCTGTGTGCAGGGTTTACGGCCTTATGCGTGACAAGAACTGGGCTACGTCCTCAGCTTTTAATTTCTTCTGAAACACAGACCGAAAAGGCTCTCAGGCCCCTGAGAGGGAAACGGTCATTTACTGGATTGTTGTTGAAGGACAGAGATGATACAGATGATGAGGACTGATTCAGTCAGGGTGGCCATTAACAACCCAGCTTTCTCAATGACATGTCTTCTTTACTCTTTGTCTCTTCTCAACGCTGACTGGCTGAACAGTCTGAATAGGGGCTGGGAATATAGCTCGGTGGGAAAGCACTTACTTGAATTCACGGAGACCTGGATTCCATCTTCCACACCTGTTGAAATAGGAGCGGTGGGGCTGCGTCCCCAGCACCCCGGCTGCTTGGCTAGCTTATGCCCGAAATAACAACACACAAACTGTATTCATTTAAAGACTACTTGGCCCATTTCTATCTAGCCTCTTCTAGGCTAATTCTCGCACCTGGATTAGCCCATTTCTAATAATGCGTGTAAGCACCCCAAGGTGCGCTTACCGGGAAGATTCTAACCTATGTCCATCTTGGGTTGGAGCTTCATCGCATGTGCCTCAGAGACCAGAGCTATCGGGAGAACAGAGCATGGCGTCTCTGCTCCAGAGAGCAGAGCTGTCGGGTCTGTCTGAGAAGTCTTACCTCACTTCCTCTTCCTCCTGTTTACTCCTCCCACCTATGTTTTAACCTATCAGGGCAAGCAGTTTCTTTATTTAATTAACCAATGAAATCAACAGATTGATATATGACACTCCCACATCACACACCAACACACGAACGTCGGCAGGAAGCAGCCTCATAGGTCCATCATCAGTGCTCCTGTGGAGACTATTTTTCCATACTGTGGCATTTTGTGGGTTAAACAATAGCCGTTGGATTGTGACTTACCTCTGTCTAACTAGAGGCCATGTTTAGACAAGGAACAATGTACACGCGCACGCGCACGCACACACACACACACACACACACTTTTCTGCCCTTATGGTATCAGCCACATTTCCAGAGCCTGAAATGCACACATAGCCCCTGGTTCCTTGTTGGATGGTGCACACAGAGACCATGTCTGTCACTGTAAATGTAGTGGTACAGCATTCTAAAGGAGAGCAGTGTTGGCTGTGTCTGGAAACACATCTTAGGGCAGCATCTGGAAAGAAACCTGAATTCTTTTATTTATCCATAATCCTTAACGCTTGGAATGCACGGCGTGCTGTGAGGAGCTGTGTTTGCTCCCAAGTTCATACCTTGGCTGGGGATACCCCCCCAGGGGTGTATGCCTCTGCTCACTGAGGCAGGAGCCCGGAGAAAAGCTTTACCCAGGGAAGATTGCTGTAACTTACCGTCCACAAGGGTGCTATTGATGTTTTCAGAATAAAAGTGGTTGGGGAGCTACGAATAAAGCATAGTAAGATTTTCAACACCGTGACAATGGATGGCACTTGGGACTCTGCAGCTCAGGCAAATGGCCAGAGCCATTAGTCTCGCTGGCATGCCTCTGCAGGTCCACCAGGGCTTCCTCTCTCGGCTCTCGTCTTCCCGTGCTTTCCTTCCTACCACCGTCTCCACACGGAGCGGTCTTCCCTCACATGTGGGGTCTTGGCTCTCCATCCAGTGCTCGCAACCTCTTCTAGGCTCAGGATGAGATTGCACGCCATTCCTGTGATGTGGGACTGAACTCATGGGATGAACCTGGGGGGTCAACAGAAGCGGTCACTGCTCTTCACGGCAGCACCTAACAGCTGATGTGGGAGCTCCAGGGATCTCTTTCTGGCTTGGCCACCAGCAACGTTCAAGATGACCTCTGTCTGTTTCACTACCTGGCTCCCTGAGAGGTCACCGTGTTGACAACCCTGTCAGAAACAAACGTGCTGTTCCAGGCATTGATACTTGGGAACTTTATTTTCCTAACATCATCTAATCTATCAGCCCAGTTACGTACCTCTTGCGTGTTTCTCCCTCAGCCTTACTGCCTACGACACTGCTGTCCACTGCGTTTATTAGCTGAAGGTGTTTCCTGTTCCTTGGGAAGAAAAGCAAATTGAAAGTTTTTATATGTGTACCAGTCAGTAGACTTGGGTGCTGCCACAACTAATCTTTTTAATAGATTGGTGTTCTGGAATCTTGAAGGAGCAGTCCCTTTACCTGCTAAGGGAAGTATGTCTTTCCTAAACTGGTTAAGTAGCAGCTGTCTTCGTGGTTCCCTGCAAACAATCTCAAGGCAGACAGCATCTTTGGAAAGAAACTCACAGTGATGAATAACAGTCCAAGAGGAGGAAAAATATCACTAGGAAAGAAATGACAGGGTCTGTGCTGATCTAGGAGGCAGAAGTCACTCTGCTAGCCAAATGGACACACAGCTCTTGAACCGCAAAAAGAGCTCATCCATCCTTCCATCCATCCATCCATCCATCCATCCATCCATCCATCCACCCACCCACAAACATTCATTGATACATGAATGAAAACATGCATTCATTTAATATAGGTGCTGCCCTGAAGGAGCTTATGATCAGATGAATGTCACAGACACTACTTTAAACCCACGTGAGGCTAAGCATAGGCAAAATGGAAAAACGAAGCTGAGTGCAGTGACGGAAATAAGTGGGGTCAGATGGAATACATAGGAAGAGACAGAAGTGAATAGCGTCTTTAAAGCGTTTGAGCTGAATCTGGCCTGCTTCCACATTGCTTGACCAAAATACCTCAGAGCAATGTGGAGCAAGAAGTGCTCTCTTGGCTCCACAGGGCTCAGTCCGTCCCAGCTGACAGGGCTTAGTGGAACACATCCCACTGAGCAGGGAGGCTGAGTGGAGGGGGCAGGCTATGCTGGTGACCTGCTTGCTTGTCTTCTCCAACTGTTATTGCACATGCGCGTGTGCAAGCACACACACACACACGCACACACACACACACATGCACACACACACGCATGCACGCACACAGACCCTCCCTTTATTTAGGCTAAGTGTTCCTTCTTCAGTTGATCCTCTCAGGAAACCTACTCAGACACAGGTGATTCTGAATTCAGCCAATTCTGACTTCAACAATGAAGATTCACTACTAAACCGGGATCAAAAGATGCCAGCTCTACAAATAGCAGAGGATCATTCTAGACAGACAAACAGCCACGCAGGAGGGAAGGAGCTTCATATCATAAGTGGGGTGGAAGGGTAGAGGGACCCCATGCCAGAAAGATAGGAGAACGGATGTGGCAAGTGAGCACAGATAGTCAGGACCTTACGTTGGAAGTAAGGAAGACTTGGGGACTCTGGGTGGAGAGGAGGCCATTGGATGAGGGGCATGGGTCAGCAAAGCTGCCAAGGCCCAGCAGGAAGCATTACAGGCTTGGCCAGTCACCACCTACCACAACCACCCATCTCTGTGGAAGCAGACAAAGTCAGTCAACAGATAAGCGATAGCCTGTATCTGATAAAATTCCACTTTTGGACAATACAAATCCAAATTCCATAATATTTTCTGTCACCAAATATCATTATAATGGCTTT